TGGAATTAAAAGGTATTACAGACTTTGAAAAGAGTAAAAGCACTACTATTACGTAAGTTAAATGTAAGTTAAACATAGTATTATTACAGTATAGTGCCTTAATCATTTAGTTTTATTAAAAGTTTTCAGTTGGATAGATAAGAAACAGAACTTCAGTAGTTTTTTTTTTCTTGGAACCAAGAACCTTAAGTTATTATTATCTCTACCATTATTTTGAGTTATCATAGCCAGTCAACTTGTTCAGAAGGTATTTTGATTTATGAGGACTAAATTTTTTTTTTTGTGAAAGTCACTTTACATTACCTTACGAATTATCATGACCAAATACTCAAAAACTCACATACCAACCTAGTGTTATAGTTTTTTTCTAAAAACAGTTTTTATTTTTATTCTATTTTTGTTTTCCTACTTGAGAATAAGAAGCTGTCATACCCAGACATCCTAAAAGTTCTCATGCCTTACCACTGTGAAAGTTATCATGCCCAACCATTCTGAAAGTTATCATGTCCAACCATTCTGAAAGTTATCATGCCCAACCATTCTGAAAATTGTCATGCCCAACCATTGTTATGCAAGTTATCATGCCCAGCCATCTCTATGAGTCAACATGCTCAGCCACCCCATAGAAAAGTCATTGTTTCCTGAACACTGGAGACAGTGGGCACTGCTATTCTCCAGTTGTCATGTAAACTGCTCATGAACGTCCCGAAGGTCACACTCACTCTCCTCCTTGCTTGTGGTCTGCACCAGTTATTTCTTGATACATGCAGTTCACTAGAGTCTATTGGCAAAAGAACGAATCAAATCTGATAGATTTAAAATAGATGATGCGTGGAGGATACACGTGGGGCTCTCCTGAAAAGAGAAATGTGTTGTTAAATTATTCATGTGTAAATCTAGATATTCTCTGGCTATCAATGCTGAATTTGTAGTACTCTTGTGCTTATTATTATTTATATTTTTATATATTTTTCATATATATTGTAAGGAACCATGTTTCAGATCTGAAACACAGTAGACTGAATTTTCTATGCTAGAAAGTTTCTTATTTTTTATTACATGTGATAATTTTTAAAACAATTCACTCATTTTAACTACCTTCAAAGCTAAAAATTTATTTACTCCTCTGTGAGTACTGATAAGAGTACCAGCTACATGATCCTCATTATTGAGTGTCAGAGAATAATGTAAAGCTTACAGTTTAGTCACACATTATCCTGGTCAATAAAGAACTGGGAACCTTAAGAAGACAAAGTCACTTGATCCGGGTCCTGTCTTAAGAGGTGACCAAGTTTAATAAGGAGAGCCCTGTAGGTTGTTACTGAACGTGATAATTCCACAGAATGGGCAGGAAGGGCACGCTCTCCTTTGTCCTTTTGCTCGGCGGCGTCGCTTGCTTCGTATCCGGATTTATCCCAGAAGGTAAACCCTGTGGGCATACGGCAAACCTCATGCCCACACCCACGCCACCCTGCCCACGCAAAAGCATAATGGTATCTGTATTATATTAACATTGCCAAAACCTTTCTTTCATATCAGTTAGTGACTCTATTGAAAATCGAAAGTCTGTTGTGTAACGGGTACATGCATACAAAACTCAATAGTCACTCCTATAATGTAATTTGGTATTCTTTCAGCACTCCATAGCCATTTTACCAGATCTGAGATAATGTGTAGTTTCTTTTAGGATTAATGCACACCATAAGAATTCTATTGTTTAATGTAATATAGATTTAGAGTTTTGATCAGAGGTAATAATTTTCTTCTAAGTTATCTTGCAGCCTTATATATATGTACATTCAAAATTTTTCATAAGAATAGTGTGGCAGAAGTTTAAGGTGCTGTGTTTTATTTTAATTTTTAGCTCTGCCCATTTAGATCTAGAGATAAAGAAGAGGAGTGTTCTAATAGAAACCCAGTTTCAAATACTTAAAGATGATCCTTGTGCGAAGGGCAAATGGGAATAGATGCAATCAGACTTTAAACAGATTATTTGATACTAGAGTCTAACAAGAGACTGATATCAAAGAAGTGTTAAATGCCATTATGTGGAGCGTGTTCCTGTTATTTTGTGCTGGAAGAAGAGATTGACTGTTGTGGATAATGTAAACCTCTGTATGTATGTTCATTCAGTTTCACTTTAGAAAATATGCTCTGCATAGAATACCAAAGCACAAAATAACTAAGGCGTGATCAATTGAAAAAAAAACAAAAAAAAAACATCCGGCACCAGACAGAAGAGCCCTCAAGTAATTTCACATCAGTATTAATTAGAATAGATCCTTAAACATAATTTGTTTTTGTTTTTTTTCTATATGACTAGGATAATTTTATTTGAGGATTATTGAAATTGATTAGTTCATCAGTTAGATTTAATTTAATATGTATTCTGAAAATAAATTGGGTTCCTCATAAGTGGCAACACTGGTAAGTATAGGTAACAAGCAGCAATTTAGTGTTCAGATTATGAGGACCTACAGTAATCCAGCGAGAGACTGTA